AAGAACACCGCCCTACCAGCCTTGTACTTCGTGGGTTAAGTTGGTTTCATGACTAGCAAAAGTCTTAACTTCATTTCCATTAGAGTAACAAAAATAGTTGCATTAAGACTTCACATAAACAGAAGGAAAAAGGAAAGTTAACGTAGCTAATTCGCCCAAAACAGAGGCTCTTGTGTCTCCACGTGACGAAGGAAGGCGCAATTGACACCGACAGTTGGATGGGCACCATCACGACAGTCAATTAATGAAAAAAATATGGCAGTTTCGTTTCCAGCAGTACTTCACGCTAACGTCTCTCCTGTCAGTCGCTAGTCAGAAAGGATGATGTGGGAAAGCTACGAAAAGAATGCCTTTTTCTTCCACAAAGACTCGTCCTCAGCAGTTCGCACTTCAGCCTGTTATCACTACCATCACTGGGGCAATGATACAGAGAATAAGACAGAGGAATTACTCCATCCATTTCGCACGTATTTAGCAGGTTGTGCCTGAACTTCTTCTTCATTTGCTTTACACTAACCCTTCGTATCCAAACGGTGTTGAAAATATGTCCTGGACTGATAAATAAAATAAAAGCAATTTACTGTTCTCCGCAAACATTGCAAAGGATTGTTGACGTATTGAACAGTAAGATATTTGAATGAAATTTGTCTTTGGTGCTCTGAGACAGACTCATTCCCAGCTCTTGTGGGTGTAGCAAAGTGTGTTCTAAAGAAGAGTTTAAAAGCTTAGATTTGAGTTTATTGGTCGTTCAGGTTTTACAAGATCGCCAAATGCACTCATTTTTCGCCTTCTTTTACAAATCATCTGAGCCAAGAGAACAAAGTACTAAATTCAGGTAATTTCTGGCAAAAATCGTCAAGACTATCTACTTGCCTGGCTGGGTAGTCCAAAAGGGCTGGTGGAACTGTTGTTGCGAGAGGGATCTTTGAATGAACGTCCCTGTCGGTGATGTCCACGCATACGCAGCAGCAGCTGCGGCAGCTGCGGCAGCAGCAGCTGCATTGGCAGAAGCAGGACCCTGTTGTTGATGATGTGAAGGGGGCGACGCATAGAAAGGTTGAATGATCGCCTGAGTTGATGTGGCCGCATCTACCAATTGGCGGTGTGCCGTAGAATACTCTCCCACTCCCCACCCTCCTATTCCGGCGATAAAGGGTAGTCCATTTCCACTCTGCCCACCAAGAAGACTTGCCGAAGCGTACTCTGGACTCATTGTGCCTGGAATAGTGACGAAGAGTTAGCCGAACATTCATGCAGCCTGAAAGGCCAAGTGAGTTGGTTGGCGTTTTGCAACTTACTTGCAGCCAAACTATCAGCGTCGGATTCACCATGAACGCTTTGATACACTACGGAAGAGTCATGCTGGCGAGTATTGAAGGTGGAAAAATAGTTCGCTCCACGGTTACTGTTATCGGAGCTTTGTTGTTGCGGCTGTTGGAATTGTAGCAGAGGATGACCGTTTACAATGAGAGAGGGGTGGCTGCGCTTGAGATCAATTTGAATCAACCCGTTGGCTGCATGGACAGGTAGCTAAAGTGGCAACAAAATTCATCCTCACACAGGAAAGTGGAAATAGAAGCTTACAAGGGCTTTCGATGAGGCTAGTGATATTGGCTGCACCTAAAATTCTTTGCATTCCCATTTCAACTTGTTTGAGGAATAGACGTCTACCGAGACTTTGTCCGTACCGATATAAGGTGGTATTAGAAGGGGTTGAAATTAATCTTTTCAGCAGTAGTTGCATCCCTCTCATAGAAAATTTTTGCTTATGCTAGAGGCGGATTTCAAAGGGAGAGCGTGAAAAAGAGGAGGAGGAGGGGGGGCGGGTGAGAAAAGGAAGCACTGGATGGCAGAAACTACTTTTTACAAAGGCTGCAGAACCTTGCAAAGCCAAAAATCCGTACTTGGCAAATGAATATTTTGACACAAGAAATGTGTGCGTATGTTGGAGGCGTCAAAAGTGACAAACAAATGGATCGTCTGTTTGTTCCTCTCAAGTTGAATTGCTATGACACGTGTGTGGGTGAATCCTGAACTAACTAGTGGAAACGGTACAGACCGAACGGATGCATTCAAACCCTCACAACCTCTTTGGAGACCATCTCTCCTGCCCAAATAGAAGATTAAAAAGTCATTTTTTGTATATTCTAGTCGATAGGTGGTAAAAAACGCAAGTATTAATGAAAGTGTACAGAATGAAATAATACATTTGCTTTTGGAGAAGATCGAATGCCCTAAGGAGGGAAAAAATGAATGTAAAAGAAATATACGTAAATAAATATACAATTCGTGCACAGCATAACGTTTCAAACTTCAAAACGTTAAATACGAAGGGCGAGTAAAAGGCCATTGGTCATCATTTTGCCCTTCTTTCCACGGTTGTTAATTCATGTGCTTAGGCTTTACTTGTGGACAAAATTTCAAGGTGACGGCAACCCAGAGTAGAGAGCGGGGAAATATCTGTCACAGTTTGAACAACTTCTTGTGACTTCGGCATTGACAAAAAAATGTACTTTTTGACCTCAGGACATTCGCAATTCTGACTTTCACGTGTCAGCATGGATTGACGTAGGCGGTAGAGACAGACCACCCAGTTTCGACCATAAACATTTCGGAGTCTTTGATAAATGGAACAGATAGTCAGTTGTCATTTTCTTACTTCAATGCCATCCGCATGAGCATAAAAAGCGCCTTTGCTATTTTGTTTCAGTAGTATCCTTCGAAAGCAAAAGGTCAATCCAAGTTACTACCACCGCCTTCACTGCATTCGTCATCGGTTATTCGTTTTTAAGTTTCAGCAAATGGGTAGAGAAATCACCTGTGGCGAACCGACTTTTAGCTCCTTAAGGTTCTTAACACGATAGCAAACTTTGTTACTTTCGGTAGCGCATGTGCTTTTGTTCACTTGCAACAATAAAACGCTTTACTGAGATTATTTTGTTGGCTGAAAGATTGTGAACATGGACATATTAGCGTGTTCTTACCGAAGTAACAGGGAAAGACTGCAGGGTCGTCTCATTTCGTGTGGGTGCGGTAGGTTGCGACTGAAAGGCAGCGGCTGCGGTGGAGGTCATTACAGGTGAGGAGTGCGCAGACTGGGCCAGTACTTGCTCATACTGATGGGCCGATGGGGACAAAATCCGCGCCGCACCGGTCTTGCCTGTGCAACGCGAGCGAAAGAGTTTTGCCGCCATGGAAGTGAGAAGACGCTTAGCAAGTGGACGTCCACCGACCCCATTACCTCCATTCGGATCCACTGGAAGAGCAGGAATACCGGTGTATGCGAAGAAGGCACCGTCACGAAAACCTGGATCTGGAGGCGTAAGAAATAAGGAGAACTAGGGGAAGCAGTAGGATATGCCAACTTTTGGTGAGTTGTGTGAGGTTAAGGGAAGGGGGTGTTAGAGCAGCTTGTGAATGCGGATTCTTACAGATGATGAAAGGAGACGTGCTGGAGACTTGATGGCTTAATAGGCTGGAACTTGCACAGTCGAAATCTGAAAATAAGGCACCGAAGTTAGAGTCGAGCCTCTCACTACAGCACGTTGGCTTTGGTTGTCGCAAGCGTCCTAACTCCAATAATGATAGCACAACTTTTAATTCTCGCTCTTTCTGAAGGTCCTTGCATAGCCTTCACTGCTACATTGCTGCCAACGTAGCACAATGTGCATGACATCTTTCACGCCTTGCGATAAATATGGTCGACTTTACTGGCACATCAAAGAGTGTTTACATTTAAGCCGAATGTCTGATTAATGCAAAAGCCTCCACAGTGGGTGGATTTGTTTTTACTTTCTTTTTTCACATGACTAGTTCTTTTCCATTGAAGTATTGTTGTGACAGCTGACGTAAACGAATCTATTCCAGAACTGTCAGGTTCGAAGTTCAAGACAAGGCTCCCTGTGCAAAGAGAGCCCGTAGGACACCTCTATCGTATTCCTAATCTTTCACCTGCCTTCTAGTGTTACGAAAATGGTAAAATGGTCGAAACATGCCAACACTTCTCATAAAGTTAGATTTTGTGGATTAGTAAGAACAATAACTTACCAGCATTAACCACTGCCATATGTCCCAAACCACTGCCTTCAAATGATGGCTGAGAAGCAGCATTTGCTGTGGTGCAGCCAGCGCCTCCATTACTACTACCACCACCGCCACCACCACCACCGTTGGTAAGTGAGAGACCTGGCCACCGAAAAAAGGCAGCACTACCAGACTGAGCCTTAAGTAATTTCCCATTTGCAGACCGTAGTTCACCCCGCAAACCTTGATGGCGTTTTCTGCGACGTTTTTGCATCCACACAATGGAGAAACAGGCAACACCCACTAGTAGAATCATGAAGCAACAGAGGAAGACGAGGATGAGCACGAGCATTGTGGGTCCCTGGTAGGGAGGTGGATCGAGAACTCGCAGCGGACCGCCATTGGCTTCATTAATGAAGTCGTTGTAATCCTCACCCTCACCGTCAATGTTACCTGCTTTGGAGTTGTGAGTGATGCTATTGTCGGCGTTAGTCTTGTCCGAAGGTGGCAGATACTGTGCTTCCACAACCAAGGACGGAGGCGAGGGAGATTTTTCTATGCAACGCATGGAAATTGTGTAGAGATTATTACTAGGAAAGTGAGTGTATAGGCAGACTAAAGGATAATGAGTAAGAGAATTCGACTACATTTCTTAAAAATTTACGCATATATTTGCACCGCCTACACAACGAGAACACTCATTTCACTCCCAAATCCCTATTTGCGCATTCCTATTTGGAGATGTGAGGCACTCACCAATGAATAACTAATCGAACCTCACAATTCGAAGATCCGGTGGTTTTGTAAGCCATTTGCTTTTGATGCTTGAGGTCTGTGATTAGAGCATAGTGGACACATTTGTCCACTTCTCTACGGCATTACAATACCCTCGGAAGGAAGAAGGAGACCATCCAAACATAATGTCAACCGGAAAAAGTAGTAAAAACATTATAACTAGTGTCGATGATATGATGATGACACGAGTAGTTTAGAGGTTGTTTAAAAATTTATTCATAAGGAAATAAAAGTGAAATTGCCTACAGAGTTGTTATTGGCTTCATAGAAGACCGGGAATACGAGAACGCGCTCATTCATAATTAAAAGGTGAGCGTTGATTTGGAAAACCAAGGGAAATGGCAGTATTAATTTGCTGGAAATGCAAAACCGTTGTTCCCTCCAAGTGCGTACACTTCATCCACAAGAGGATTGGTTAAATGAATTCGATAAATTTGCTATCTTGCAATCCATTTAAATGAATATATTCAAGTGATTCAAGAAAACCAGTCTCCATTTTAAGCAAGCCCGTCCTAGCGTGCACATTCAGTCCACGCCTTTTAGATGCATTCCCTACGGAAGTTTTGAGTTTTCCACTAAAGAACCAACAATAGCCAGCTAACTTCGTATAGATCAAAAGGGCACCCTGAAATTTTTTCCTTTTCTAGAAGGATAAACGTTTCATCGTTCAAACTTTCCTCCCAATTGAATGTACGTCTCTGGGAGGTAGGCAAAAACTCATGCCTGGGTACATTCATTTACGCTTCCTTTTGTCTCCCAACTGCCGATTTGTATGAGATCTGATGCCAAGAAAAAGCGATAATCGCTTGCATCACGAAGGAGTGCAATTAGAGAAACAGGAAGGATGAGAATAATGAGGCAATTTTTTCCTCATTTTTGCCCTCCTCAACTGCAGTATGAGGTTATCCCTTGAAGTAAGTCTTGTAGAACCTCCTCATAGAAGAGATTTTCAAATTCAAGTGTCTTCAAGATCTTCAAAGCAGACGAACTGGGATCACACCACCCCATCACTTGTGCTTGTAAGTTCATGCACAAGTGGCAAAATTGCAGAAAATCTTGACAAAAATACATCAATTCATCGTTAGCCTAGTCAAAATATCTGCCCTTTTCACTACTTTACTAGAGGTGTGCCAAACAGGAAATCATAGCAGTAGGAGCACTCACCACTTCACTATGCCTCTCCGGAAATGAATGATCACTCAATTCAGATCGCATATTTGCGAGTAAAATCATAAAATTGCAAACCAAAATCTAACAGAAGTGAATGGTGAATGACTTTGCGGTTCTTTCAATAAAGCCGGAGCAATTTGACTTATCTCTCTCAGTAGTTTTACACTTATTCCTGTTCCAAGTTTTACCTAACTACGGAGTGTTGAGGTTGAAACACATTTATTTCTCCCTCCTCTCTGCCTTGTGGATGGCGGAGGGGATTTACGCTGTTATGAATTGCGCATAAATTAGCTGGCTAAATCGTCACGTTAAGATCCGTCTCAAAAGAAAATCGTTGCCCTTTTTTCTCCTCCAAATATTCCACCACTGGATGCTACCGAACGATTTGTTTATCTTTACTTCCATCTATTTAGCAAATTTAAATTAGCCAACCCACATGCATTTGTGTCGATGATTTGAGACGTTCCATACGTTCAAGTCAGATGCCAGCTCCCGTCATGGAGGCTAAAGGTGGCAAATTCGCTGAGATGACTCTCCATTGTTCGTTATTTTCCTCTGAACTCGTGCATTATTCTTTGAAAATCAAGACGTCCTTGACAAGATTGAGCTCAATCCACTCTCTTTTTCGCATTAAGCCTTTTGTCAAGAACTCTCCCCAACCCACTTGGTTCTGTGTTTCACTGCTTTTGTGTGTGTGTGTGTGTGGTAGAAAACGAAGCACCACCATATTTTACTTTGGCAGAAATTAGCCTGTATAAACCCATTTTAAATAGAAAAATGAAAAATATGAAATGTTACTTTCCACCCAATTTTCTCCAAGGAAGTCAGACAAGTGTGATCAAGCGAACCAATGGGCAATAGAAGTATCAATTGCACTTTGTGTAGACAATGAAAAAGGCTTAACAGCTCCAACATTACAAAATATTAAAAACTTAAAATATGCTTCTTCGGAGTTGAAATTAGACAAAGGCAACGCAAAAGCATCAGATCTGGTTTCGTATTGACTTAAAGTGGGATTAGTAGTGGATCAAGCAGTACCTCAGAGCAACACAACCGCTGTCTTAAATATAGTCTTGGAAAGGAGTTCGGTTTGGAAGTAATTCAGGTTTGACACAGACAGAGATTGAAGAAGGTAGAAAAAACAAGATAACCTACCAGACTCATCAAATCGTAGATTGGGAGAGCCCTCACTCCCTACTGCATGACCGCTGAGACTGTTTTCAATTGCTGCAGCTGCAAGGCAAGGTGGAATGGGAAGTAAGAAGGTGGCATAAAGTCGAAAACAAAGAGCTTTGGACTATAAGAGGGAAAGAAGAAGGAAAGGACGGAAAGGGATGCAATCCCAACGGTGTTCCATGACCTTTCTATCCCATGTGTGGTGAGAGTATGAGTGTGTGATTTTCCAAAGGTCGGTACAACAATGAGACAAATGTCAACCGCGTTCGGGCATACGCGTATGGCCACCTATACGACAACAGTTCCCACCGTGTCTTCTAATGTGGTTGCTATTATAGCTGTGATTTTTTAGAATGAACATTATTACTGACATTCGCATCGTCTATTCGTCAATTGTCCTTGAATATGAAGCAAACTTGAATAACTGATGAAAGAAGACCAGAAAACCTTAAATGAGGTTCATTAGAGAAATTAACGATAGGAGATTGGCTGGAAGCAAGCTTCGTCCTTAGGAACATGTTCCTTCGCATGGCGTTTGGTATTACTTCAAGTGAGTCATCTCAAAGAAGCAGTTAAAATAACGTCCATCGAGGCTCAATGAATATGCTGCTACAACATCAAACAAGTTGCTCTTTCTCTCTCTCCTCCAAATGACTAAATTATCCTCTACGAGCACTTTGTTGACAACTGAGGAATTCGTAAAGGAAGTGAAAAATTTGAGGCTTTCTGATCTGCTTAGTTGCGCGCGCCTTGGATAACGATGTTGACGCCTTCAGCTTCCACTTCCTTCCACATTCACAAGATGAATTTAGCTTTATAAGTTTGGCAATGTCCAAGTTGAATTGTAGGACAAAGGCATTTCATAAAGAACATTTTAGTGGACTGAGTAGACTCACTGCTGATGAATCGCACTTCGCTAAGGACAATCCATTCGTCATCAAAGAAGAGCTTTACTTGAACCACCCGTCCATTCTTCTTTTTAAGATCTACAACCAGCGGTTGGAGAGAGAAGGCTTGGGTATCCAAAACTACGTCCGGTGTGGCGGGAAACGTTAATCCATCCACACTCAAGGAGGCTTCTATGCGTCGAGGTATTCCAATCTGTAAATTAAAGGGAACCAGTTTAGAAATCGCTACGCCTTTTACCGCTCTAGAGGTGTATTACCCAGTTTTAATTTTGAAACTATCAGTGACCCATTAGCGGCTTTGAAGGCCCCTAACATTAATACAAACGCTTAAAAGTTCATCCTAAAGAATAATTGGAAATTTTAGGTATCACCAAGTAGGAGAAATCTTCATCAAGTGGGCTGTATCCCAGTTTCAGCCTGTGAGAGAGACAAATGCGATCGTACTGAAGTAAGCTCCTCCACTATCAAAAGTACAAAGCCCTAATAGGAGAGTAGATTAGGATGCAATAAATGCGTCACACCTCCTTGCATATCAAAAACCCTATCCTTTGCAAGCATTAGATGCTTTTTAACACAGTAATTAAGATTGCATCTCCCACAATAAAAAATTACTCTTTTTCCAGCGTTTTTCCGTTCTCCAATCTCGGATTTTTCTAAAGGTGTATCTGCTCAAAATCGTGCCAAATTCAAGGTATCATGGTTTGCAAGCCTTTTCATGACTAATATAACTTTGAACCAGAGCTTGTTCAATTTAGGTGTCAAAGGTAAACAATGGAATGGGACTTGAACATCACACGTTATTAAATGCTCTTCCATGGGAGAGGCAGCACCCTCCTACCACGGAGGCCGGAATTTGACGCAATTACAAGAGAGATAATGTATGAAGTTATTGGGAGTAACAACCATGCAACTTACTCCATACCCATACTATGAAGATAATTGAAAAATTTCCTGTTTGTTAGCACTGTACGGGAGCATTTTGAGACAAATCCACGCCTTTTCAGACAGATAAATCATTCACCCCATTGCAAGGGAGAATAGATTTCACTGCATTAGACAAGACAACAAATCTGCTTCAGTAATGGAAAAAAAAGCCGGGATTTTTGTTTGAAAGCCTTCACTTCGACATAAGTAGCAGCCACGATGATGAAGACACTGAAATCGCGTAGATCATTAGATAGACAGTGCCTTTTCGGGAATGAGTGTAAAGATGAATGGTTTACATTGGCGAGAAAAACCTGTGGGAAGAAAACTTCGTGCCATTATGAAGTCTTTCAGCCACAAATTAGGCGTAATCGAGGAGATAGAGCTCTGTAAGTCTATGCATCTGTAGTACATTTCAATTAGAAAAATTCCCGCTACTTGTTATGCACTTTTTCCTTCTCCGATAGAACTTGTCGCACAAACATAGAGAGCATGTTATCGAAACCCTCAAACCTCAATACCTTTAAAGGTCTTGGTTTGTACAAAAAATGGAAAAGCCCTCTTGGGAAGTTGTGATGGATTATCTTAAGTTGGAACAAACGAAAAGAGGAGGGAGGGAGTAGAAGTTACGCAATTACGAAAGTTCTTATGGGAATCGCGCAAAACGTACAAGAGAGGCCCGTAAAACGAATCCACAATGTTGATGGCAGCTACCGCAGAAAGTTTCCCAATCAGTAAGGCCGGGATGATAATCATGAACTTTCACCAATCACAGAATGACAACTTATTGCTCTTCAAGTTCTAATTGCGGAATAGCTTTGGTGCCTCCTTCTAAACAAATACTGGGCTCAAATCATTTTCAAATCTAATGGCTGACCTTCAAATTCAACATTTTGGAGTCTATTACCATGGATACTGTTTACGTCGGATAACTTTACTTTTTATAAAGATCCCTTGGAACATGGTAGAACTGACTCAGTGATAAATAAAATCCTGCTTTTTTCACAGTCTGATGTTTATCAGAAATTCTCACGATTAACGGTGTGTTGATGTGGCCTCAGGCAGGGTGGAAAATTGCAAAACGCACGTGTTGCCAGAGGATTGAGGTTGTCGCCTGTTTGGCCTCACTAAGCGCTGTTGAAATGGTGGTGCATCAAATGCTAGACTCAAGTGCTACTTTATGGTTGTGTAGGTAAGTCGCGATCTCCTTGGCATTAAAATAAACCACCTTGTGCTTCCATAAAGCCCTACACACGATGAACCCGTAAACCCGGCACGAAGTCATTCTTCATGAATAAATAAGAGAATAGTAGTTTATAGGATGATCAGAAGCTCACTGCAATCCTCTTATGCAGAAATTGAGGTACTTGCGTCTACTGGACCGCTGGAGGGGAACAGAAGTCGGAAATCGAGAAGCCGATTATTCCAAACCCTTTACTTTCGCAACAGATTCACTGAGATGGGTAAAACTGGAGAAAAAGAACATTTTTTCAAAGGGTTCCCATTTCAACAGCAAAGCCATGGAACTTCGTCACCGTTCTCACAATCACTTTGAAAGCTGTGAAATAATTGCTCCCATATCAGCCACCGACATTTGCTCTGCAATTTTTGAGCAGCACCATAAACGCCTCCTTGAAGTGGATAACTCCTTGTCACCACACTGACAGTGAGTTTGGTATTTTCACGCGATGTTAAAACAATCATCCTTGGCGGTACCTCCACAGTCAGACGTGACTTCAAATGTGCCACACAAATCAAAATCTCCATAAATGTCATTAACTATGTGAAATTTTCGCATACTTTTTTGCAGCGGTGGCGAAACCGACTCGTTTACATGAGATTAAAGCAAACTTTAATGTGCATGGGTCGGTTATCACTTCAAAACTAATTAAAACACCTTTAAAGTTCTCGCAACAGGTAACCTTGCGGTTAGAAATAAATATCGCCGACAAGCGATTTAAACGTTGAGCAAATTGCCATTTTCGACAACGAGATACAATTTTTAATCATTCCTTCATTATTTTTTGTCAAGCTTGGTAATCCATTTTATTAATAAAACAGTTTTTAAGGACCCTTAAAAATTAAACGGTACAAATCTCTTTCAACAGAAATGTAAAAGTGACAGAGTCAAAGTTGTGGAACTTGAAGTAGTCCTAAGAAGTTTAAAAACACTCCATTAGTTGATCACAGCCTGGACTAAGCGTTTTCTGTTGTTGAGGTCTGTCAACGCGCCTCACAGACGTGTCAGAATAGTCATGAGTTCTGCAATACCTACAAATGTGTAATCAAGACTCTCCGGATCATGACAAAAGATTGCATTCCATGTTTTTTTTTAAATAATTGCAAAAAATGACGAAAAAGACTTCACAGAGCATGCAACAGTTCCGAACCAGTAAATTCAAACTGCAGATTTCGTTAAATAATTTATGGCAAGCTCTAAATCACCTAGACATAAAATTGTGATACTTTGAACTTCGCAGAAGTAAAAGTGTGATTTATTTGCAAATTCAGTCCACGAATCCCAGAACCGAAAAAAAGGTTAGGAATTCTGTTTGAAATGGAAAATTTGTGTTGAGTTTTAGAAATAAAGAGGGTATGAAACTATGCCTCACCTTTCGCGACGGTGCCTTTAGTGCGTAGACATGAAGTGTGTCGAAAATCCGCACTCCAGAGAACCGAAAGACAAGATCAACTGCTGTTGTCGTTGACCGTCGAGTCTCTTCCCACTGCGAGCGATTCCATCCAACAAGACAGTCCATTGTTGAGGATGCGGCGTTGGATGAAGATGTGCCGTCGTGTTTCCACGGTGGTAGCCGAAGTGCTTCAGTCGATGTGGAGACACGGGAGTCCGCTAAGCAACCGACGCCGTTGTGCAAAACACCACCTCGGGGGTCTCGCTGTCCATCGTAGCAGGTGTCGTGGAGGTTGAGGGGAGGAGTGAAGGAGTTCAAATGGAAATCGCTGCCGTCTGGAATCTTGTATTCCACCAGTTCCTCTGAAAATTTCGTTTTCATTAGGTTAGGACACAAAAGGAGCTACACCTTATCATAGCGTCCTGAGATCATAGAGAATTGAGCCTAACTTTCCCGCATCCCTACTTACCAACATGATGCCCGTCAAGAGGTCATTGATCCTAGAGGTGCTTAAATGTGTAGTAAACCGTCAAAAAGACATCTCTATGATAAAACTTCTCTGTTCTCTTAAAATTGCTCCCGTTGGGAGGATTTTCAAGGAAGACGGCTCGACTCCGAATGTCAAAGAGAACCAACTTGATGATGTTAAGCTGGGGTGGTGTACAAGTCTTTGGAAATAAATTAGGTCCGAAATTCTCAGTAGTCAAAGCTTTTCTACACCTTTCAGTCTGTTGAGCACCTTTCACTAAAACAGTCAGTTTACGCACATCATACCTTGGGAATCATCGTGCGAATGGGGTTCTGGTAAAAGGCTGAGAAATAATGAAATTGGTCACCAACCAACCACTGGACTTTTAAGACACTTTTTTTTAAAGAACCTAGTTTTTATCCCAACGATTCACATTGACAAGAGAGTCAGGAGAGAGAGATGTCTGAAAGTTGGAACTTACCGGAGAACCGGCAGCCGTAAAACTCGAATTTGGCACAAACGAACATGGCTTTTCGACTGAATGGATAAACACGAACCCATCGGGCAATGATGGGTGGATTTAGTGGAATTAGTTTGAGATCAAAATTACTTCCCACTCCGCTGATGATATGGGTCTGCAAAGAGGAAGGAAAAGTTCCATGAAAGCGCCGTGTTTCGTGCGGAATGTAGGGCTTGAGACCACAGCTGTGGAAGCTACAGTGAGTCGAAGAGAGATGCAATAAGCAAACTGACATCACAAAAGTCAAAAGCCACCCAAATTAAAAAAAAACCTTGTGGCTTTTCGAAATGAGTTCGCACAAGGAAGATAATTGCAATGATTTGGGGCTCCTCCATTGGAAGAGCGGAGCGCACAAACTAATAAGTTCAGTGTTGTTGCATATTCTTGACAGATCTATTGAAAAAAGTCACATAGCACATTAAATGAGGAAAATTTGAATTAGCTATGTGAAAATGGGAACCTATTTTGACTTCATTAACAATTTCCACTTTTCAAAGGGCGTCTGCCATACATCAACCAAATAATAAAGAATTTATAATTTGTTGTGATCTTTTTCTGTCCCACTTTTTGCCACATAAGAGACGTTTAGGTTGGTAATGTGGGCCGCTTTGATAGAGCTTTTCGCCGTAGGCGACATGCAATAAATTATTCTTCTGGAACTTCAAAAAAATTAAATCTATTTCCTTACATCCTTCATTGTGTAAAATCATACAACCGTTTAAACGGTTAAAAATTCCACCCAAATGTCAAGGAAGGTTTAAACTCTGCACCAACTTCAAAAGTGAATGCGACTAATGGAGGTAAATCAGATCCTTTATCACATGCCAATTTAGCGCTCCTTTGTATATCTTGAACGGCTGATGTGGGAGATGGAAAACGCTGGTCCTGACTGACTTGCACTCCAGTGGACTACAAGCCTCAGTGCGTGGTCGAGAAGGTTACCAACAACAAGCATGCTCTCATTATCACTAAATCTTTGATGTCCACCATAAAATGCTTTATGACCGTAGAACATCTGCAAAGCATTTGTATTGCAATAGAATCTTAACTGACATGCATGAGGAGCAAGAGAGGTTTCGACTTCTCGGCTCGTGGGGAATTGACTTGCACTCTACATCAACAGCAAAGTTCAAATGAAATACGATTTTCAAAAGGTAGATGACCCAAACTGGAAAGCATCTAGGCGAGGCGAGAGATTGTTTTGAATCAGGAATCAGGAGGAGGTTGTGGCATGTTAGCATCATATGGAAGAGTAGCCCACGCATTTGTTGGGAGTCGGCTCAGTCCATGCTAGCCTGATTCAGGCTCCTTTAGACGGAGTGTCAAACAAAAGTGGCGGAGAATGAATTGACGAATGGATGGCATAAATGGATCGAAGTTAAAGTATGCAGACTTTGCGTGTTTGGATGCCGGTAATGTCGTCGATAACCCTGGCCAACAGGTGGACGCCGGACAGCGATGGTGATGTGATCCGTGCTCCCTATAGATGTTGTGCCTCCTCTAACATCTTAGCGCCTCAGTCAACTGCGTAAAAGTGAATGCTAATGGAAGGATAGAATCCAGTCTTTCTTACAAAGATTCACATTGTTCCTCCCCCCTTTGTGTCTCGCTTTGAGTTTCAAAGTTTGATAATCTAACTATCAGCAGCGGCGACGCACACGGAACGGCAACTCTTTTTTGCTAGCAGAGGGTCCCAAGAGGATTAGTCTTTGATGACTAAGGCAGTAGTGACCACGGAACCTTCCGCCACCTTCATCTTCTTCACTCTCATATTCCTCCAACCAAGAAGAATAAAAAAATGGCACAGGAGTCAGCCAGAGAGCGAACAAGGAAAGGGAGGACGGTAAGAAGGGTGAACGAATGGACGGACGGATGGGCTGAAAGTAAAAGGGCATGAAGAAGGTAGCCTTTTTTCCACACACACATACAGAAGAAAAAAGAGTACCTTACGAGTCATCAGCCCGCGTCATCGCCTACTGCAGAGAGGATTGTCATCACATTTATGTGCCATTCTTGAACGCTATCTGACTGATGGTGTTGATTGATTATGCACGAGATGGTGAATCATGCTTACTCTCAGGCAGAAAGATCGAATCTGGAGAGGCAAGCAATTACAGAACCGCACAACTCTCATGTAAATACAGGATGAATAGGCACAACCCCATTCGCCCAACGTCTTGAGGCTTCTTTGAGCCAACCTCTGGAACCATGCATTGCAAGCAATGCAAGCATTTTCAAAACTGGAAGAATGAAAGACTCCAAACTAGAGCTAAATCTGCTTTTGGTGCCTACATTACAGCATTTCCAAAAAGACTTCAGAAATGTGATGATAGCAAGGATTCAGATGAGATGAATTTTAGAGAGTTTTCGCCGCGAAAGCCGTCGATCACGCATGTTTGTGCTTACAGAAGGCGAAAAGACTACTCTGAGATCGAAACTAAGACGTAGTGACCTGTAAAATGGCATACGACTCAAGGCACTTGGAGTGAATGCCCTTTCAGTCGAACTCCACGATATGCCCACTTCCAGGGATGTTTACGACTGGAACATGGAAGAGATGACGCCTATTTAATGACTTTCCACATTTTAAGGAAAGAGGCTTCGAAAAATTCGTATGTGTGCACAAAGAACCTATCGAATGACAAAAGCATATCATGTTTCACGGTGGAGCAAACGATTCAATCCAAAGGCAACAGAAAGTGACTCACGGAATTAGAAGAGCAGGACTTGTAATCACGCCAGTCGCTACTGCCCTCTCGCCTGTAGCGAATCACAAAGGACGGAGTATACTTGACATAGAAAGAAAAAAAAAATAAGATGAGATGATGAAGTTTCGAGAGTGCCGGAAATGCAATAAGCTGTCCAAATGAGTAAGCAGACACAAAATCCTATTACCACATGAGTCATTTTGTCCTTGCAAATGAGTACTTAACTTTCAGCAGAGACAGATATTCGCCTCTTCCCCGTGATGATTGAGCATGAGAAATGCGGAGAAAATTTAGAGCCTTCTAACGACTTAGGTGAGTCCACTTATTCCCTCCTAATTGATAAAATTATACTGAATGTGTAAATAAAGAGGAGTAAGTACAATGGGGAATAGGAGACAATCTCTCCCTGCCAATCATTGGGCATGAAATATAAATTATGCGAAGTTCTGCCCTGTAGAGCCTACTATTTCAATTAGAGTGCACAGTCTAGGCGAGGTCCCTTTCATCCCGCCTCTTTTCGTCCCCTTCGTTGTTGTTTTTAAGACGCCCGGGTACCCTGTCGTTTTTTTACTGCAAAAAGCTATACACGTCTCTCCTAATGCTGGCGTGACAAATCACACCTTTGTGCCGTTCATAAGGCTCCTAAGGAAGCGAGATTTGTGCAGCTGCCTCGTAAGGGACGGTAGAATATTCACAGACTGGTGATAGAGTACCTGTAGCTGTTTTGAACCATTTCAGTCACCTAACCTGCAATTTCCAGTGTATTGAAGCTTATGATAGTCTTTGGCCTACTTCTTCGTCCGCAATTCACATCAACACATCACTGCAATGGCCAACGGAATGCGGTAATGAAACTGAAGGTCAATCATTGATTAAAATGGGATAGAAGGATTGTATTTGTTTTCGACGCTACAGGGTCCACCCTATGTTGCAGCATTAACGCGAGTCCATAAATTCAGTCATGCACTCTACCTTATTGCAAATACTTACTGTAAGTTGGTAGATAAAAGAACTTAAGCAGAACTTACAGCAACGTCAGTTCGGGGTCCGAAGGCAATTTTCGTGATGACGTTCACCGCTCCCATGTCGACCTGAATGTAATCTGTGAGATTTGTAGACACTTTTCTTGAGGGACACCAGCCTCCAGTGAGCATGTCTCTGAAAGAGGAAAAGCAATGATCCAGACCAGCAATTCGTCACCAAATGGCTTCAAAGCAGAAACTTCGCCCTTCCAAGTCGGAGAATTCGTCGAATCAAAGGGCATGAAAATTTATCAGAAATGATCCACTAACTGGACATACATGAGTATGTGAGCCTACTGAGAGAATTACGTTTCTTCTTACCTACTAGTATCCAGTAAGGGCTTAAGCTAACCTGAAGGTAGGAGATTTGCCACTATACAGTTTTCAAAATTAGTCTTGACTGATGACACCAACTTCGCAGAACTTGAGAGCACTAGGAATCTGGCTGAAGAGGGAGTCACAATTCGTGTTAAGCCTTCCTGATTTGATTCAGAGTTGCCTTTCTCAATCCCAGAACCCTCGCACACAAACTTACCCGGACCACCAGTTGTAGAAGTGGAAGCTATTTACAGGGAAGTTTCCAAACATCTTTGTTGTTGCGGTTTGCCATACTGTAAGGTTACTTGATTAGTTTGGTAGAAATGTACGGTCTAAACTAATTCAGCTGAGCCTTTCCGAGCGCTACAAAAGCCGTCGGGCATGCGGTTGATAAAAGTTCAAGGAAGAAGCACGATAACAATGCAACTACCACACTGAGGCCTCCATCACTGATAGGGAGGCGGGAAGAGCGATGAAAGAGGAGGCGAAAGACGAGGTAAGACTCCTTCCTATCCCATTTCACTCTCATCGCTACATGTGTGGTCTTTTGGAGACAATTCCAGGCAACGGAAATTGGCTTAATTTTTCCGACTTTGTGGGTAGAAGAAGGGTGGGAAATTATTCTTCCTCAATTTGTTTGCAGAAAATGCCCCTTTTCCACAAAGGAGAAGGCCATTAGTAGACTAAAAAGCATTTCATTTTTTAGCTTTTCAAGGTTGATTGCAACCATTAGACAGGTGAAACAAAAACAATGCTCCCATAAAATTAAGATCTGGGAATCGGATAGGACCTTCCCACTACTGAGTAGGCGAAAAAAATGACATTCATACCCATTTGAGAAAATTATTCGCTCCCGTGAAAGCTGTCAGGAGTGGGAAGAGGTAGGTTGAATCTAGACAGATTTAAATGCATTATGCACTGCCCTGGTCGAGTTCCAGGGTACCTACCTCCTGCCTTACTCACCCAACACTGACAAAAATTGTTGAGGTTTTTTTTTTAGATCAGGTAATTTGACTCCTTTTTCCATCACACCTCAAATACTGTCAAAATTACTTTTAGCATGCATAACGCACACTTGCAGGAAACATTGCTTTTTATTAAGATGTGTAAAGTACGAACGCTGTAGAGATTCAAGCATTTGTCAAGGTAAGGACCTTCTCACAGTATGGAGGAGGAGTCGAAAATTCACCTCCTTGAGGATTTCTTTGTCCCATAGAAGGGCATTAACGGCCTCCTTAAGCAGTTCACTGTATGGTTGTGGTGCTTAAAAACGGCACGTGCGATCTCAAAGGAGATGTACGAGGAGATGAGGTTTGATGCCAGTAAGAGAAGAACAATGTGCACCAAATTATGGAGACAAGAAAGAAAAACGCACCATGCAGGGCGAAGACAAACAAGAAAATAAAAGACGAAAGCATCCCCACTGTCCCTTTCTGAAAATAAGTGAATATGTTTGTGTTTTTTCTGGCCTCCTGAGTTAGGATGAAATAAATAAAGTTTTGTTGTACGCCAGTGGAGAAATTCCTGCCATGATTTATTGAAACATGGCAGCAGCAGCAGTGGCAGTAAATGTCTCCAATCTCGGCGGGGTAGTGGCTTACTTCGGGCCATTTGTGAGAGTTCTCTAATGCCCACACTTGTTGATAAATGAATTATTTCCATTTATTTTGTGACAAAACTCACAACTTGTGCAACCAGGTTGAAGAGGAGGAATAGTCGGCCCAGTAAATATCTATTTTTCTCACTAATGAGAACCTCGTTTTGGATGTGATTGAAGTCGAAAAAGTTGCTGCAAATAGGGTTGAAACCACCCAACTCCAAAACAATAATTTCAGTTTAATTAAACGACCCCTTTTTGATTATTCAATTGGTCATGCAAAAGTATTCTAAAAATCAAAAGAGTTGACATAGTTCGTAACTTGGTTATAAAAGTGTTCTGTTCGTTAGCTGAGTCATTTGGATAATAAAAGATGGTTATTTACCCTTAAGCGGTAAGTTTATTCTTAGAAAAATAGGTTGATTCGTTGAGATACCTCGTAATTTCATCCGTCTTATACATTCATGACTCCTTCTACCATCTACCATAAAACTGGTTTCAAAAGGCTCCATCCAATAAAACTGTTTTCTTTAAGTCCAAAATTTTTTAAGTAATCACGAAAATAATGACAGACGAAGCACTACAAAGAACGGTCAATCTTTAGGATGGGGCGAAGTCACTCCCCTTGAGGGAGGAAGAATGCGTTGTTGAAGTGACAAACCTGCGTAAAATGAGGAGAATGAGGTGAACTTTGGTCTCTAACCTGGCAGTTTTCGCAGAATGATCCACTCCTGGACCCAGTCCAGCAATCGACTGTTCAACACTCTCGGAATTGCTGGTGGCAGTGAACGCCGAGTCTGGTAACTCATTGACTCCCAGCAGAGCGTCGTCACAGCTAGCTGAGAGTGCATTTTTCGGGATGAAAGACATCAGAAAGAGGAGCAGGCATGGGATCCAGCTTCGAGGAAAACACATGGTTCTATAAGGCGATGGGAATGTGAAAAGTAAACGGGGTTTTAAGGTTTCGGTGATTCAAGTAAAGGCAGCACACTACACTCTCCAATCAATTTGTGAGTACCGCATTTGTGTGTGCAGGTCTTGGCTAATCACCAGAACCCGATTGTTCTCATGGTAGTAAAGAGAATGAGAAAGAGGGAGGGATGATAAATTTAATGGGTGCGGTGACATTTTTGGTCGTGGTTTTTTTGTGCTCCATCAAAAAACACGGTTATTTCTCACGAACGCTGTCGCAATAAATAATGCAGGAAGGCAGGTAGTCAGACAGGCAGGCACACAAACATTCGGTCAGGATTGGTGAGGGTTTTATGAAAAAGGTCAATCGGTGCGATAAACAGAGAAAATCTCAGGGATTTCAGAAAGGCCACCTCCGACGTCATAAAGATGTCATGATCAGAGTAAAACTCCAGGGCACTAAGTACTCTCACTTTGAAGTGGCTTTATTACTCTATCCAATTCAATTTTTGGAATTTCAAACTGACATTCTTCACGAAATATGGAAGTAAAGAGCGTAAGTGAGTAGGAGAGTGACGATTTTGATCGAATAAAATGTCAAAACTGGTTAGCATTTATCCCGCTTTTTAAGTGTAAATACCACGAGACCGAAATGTCCGTTTGACTTTGCCGCAGCTTTGTGTGGCAATGTTTTTTGCCCTGCTCCCTACCAATCGCCTCTTATTTGAACTGCCGTAGCATCTGATAAGCGCTTGAAGCCGATTTCGGTGCAATTTGCCTAGTTTACGAACCGAGATTATATGGCCTCCAAAGATCCAGAAACCTCTCGCCATCCAAACTTCATAGGGTTTTGGAGGAAATGGGGGAGTAGTAATGTGCCGCCGGTTCAAAGGTTTAAACGCTCTACGCTCTGATGGTGAGTCCTCCAAGGCTGGATACATCGAGGTATTTGATGATGAGAAAAGGCGTGCGGCTGTTTGGTGAGATAAGTCGGGTTTTATGCATGAATGTCAATCCTAGGTTAGGGTGGAAAGGCTTGTTACAGCACAGCTACTCAGGGGCGATGTGACCTCTTCCTGCCGTTCGCAAAAGCTAGACGGAAAGTACGACAGTGGACTCACACCCATCTCCTTCCTTAATATCACTTTTCTGCAACATAATTAAAGGTTCCATAGAGCGTCATGGAATTGAACCAATGCAGCGTGGAACGGAAACGTGGGTGGCTTGAAGGAGTTTGAAAGCACAGATTTGGAACTCAT